AAGAGAGAGAGAAAGAAAATGAGAAAGCAAGCCACCAGGTCCGGGACTTGAACCTGTGTTTGATCATGTGAGAGTGTCCAGTGCCTTAACCGCCATGCCACCTGCTGGTCCCCAACAAACTGATTTTTCTTACGCTGAAGGGACAAAAGTCAATATGTCAGGTTCATTCTCCAGAACTCTGGCACATGTCTCTGAGTGGGAGAAATGACTAGGCCTGAGAACGAATGATTAAAAGCTTTTCTGTTGTTGTTTTTACTGTAGCAAATTATTTTGTTTTCTTTTCTTTTTTAATTTAATTGTATATATTCAATCACTGTATATCATTACAGCTTGCAAAACAAATCTTCCCAGCATGAATATATTTTATATTAGTCTAGTTAAAAGATATTATCATACAAGTTATAATCAACAGATAATTTTCCATTTTTATGTCTCTTAAATATTTTGCTTCTTTCTTTTTCCCCTTGAGCCCCCTTGAGCCCCTTTTAAAATCCCAGATGGAAAAAATACAGATGGAGAGATAAGCAAATAGCATAGCAGTTACATCACTAGACTCTCATATAGTTGACCATAGTTCAAGTCCCAGACCAGAGGCTTGAAACACTGGGCACGTGTGCATGCATGCTCAAAAATTCCAAGAGGAGAATGGCGGAGAAGAGATTGCAGCACCCTGGGCGGGTGATTTCTCACTTTCTGTCTCTCTGTCTCTCTCTGGCTCTCCAGTGAGTATATGTGCCCTTATAGCAAAAATCTCTCAAAAAAAGAAAAAAAAAAAGATGGAAATTTAGAACCTAATGAATTCATATAAAAATATGACAGGGAGGCAAAGCAGGCTGTCCTGTGTACTGTAGGCTGTTCAAACGCAGCCTAGCATCTTCTCATAATGCCAGCAGCACCACCCTCAGCTCCTTCACCACCACTCTCCACTGAGAACTGGAAATGTCACCGAACTTTGACAAATGTCCATTGAGGGACAAAATCATCCCTGGTTGAGAATGACTGTGCAATGTTTCATGAAGAATAGAGAAGTGGGACCAGCAGATCATATCATGGCAATACCACTAGACTCACATGTAGCCTACCACTGTTCCAGTCCTGGACCCAACAACTTGAAACTCACACCAGGTGCATGTGTATGCATGCCCAAAATCCCAGAGAAGAATGGAGGAGAAGGGATTGCAGCATGGCCATCCCTCTGGGAGATGATTTCTCGCTTTCTAATTCTGTTTCTCTCTGTCTCTCCAGCAAGCTCACACACCCTATAGAAAAAGATTTCTCTACGGAAAAAAAAAAAAGAATAGAGAAGCAACAAATATTTATTGAATGCCTATCCTATATAATGCTATGAGTTACGAGCTATTGAATTGTGAAAATATATGTTTGCTTTTAAGAAAGTTACAATGGACTTAGAGACACAAAATGTACTTATATGAGTATCTAAACAGGAGATGGTTATAGATATAAAATAAAAACTATGCACATACACACCGAGGGACATAAAAAAATATTAAAAATATTAGTGGGAAAGGGAACTAAAGTACAAGTTTATTTTAGTGCAAAAATTTTTGAAAGCAGTGCATGGCTTTTTCATAATATACATTTGCCATGAATTTTCTGAGGAGCCCCACATCTATGTGTACGTGTGTGTGTGTGTGTGTGTGTGTGCACATTCACATGTATGTATAGTCACATATACATATGGTTGCTTTTAGATTTATTGAGACAATCCCAGTTCTGTAAGACCAAAGGTGAGAAAAAATCAGGAAAGGCTTCAGTTTACAGATGATATCAGTTGAGCTGTGTCTTCAGGACTGGGTTTGGAGCAAAATCAATGAGTAAGAAACATTTGGCCTATGCATAAGTAATGCAATTTTGGAAAGGAGAATTGGCAGTGGGACAAGGGGTGGATTTAGGCCTAATTATATTGGAAAATTTTAAAACATTTCTCTGTAATTACTGACAGACATTTATCCTTCACATTTTTTAAGAATTCTTTATTTAATTTTATTTATTCATTCATTTATTTTCATTTGACTAGAGAGAGACAGACACAGAGAGAGAGGAGAGAGAGCAGAAGTGAGAAAGCATGTGGCCAGGTCCGGGACTCAAACCATGGTGAGCCCTGTGGGAGTGTCCAGTGTCCACACCACCTGCAGGTCCTTAGCCTTCAAATTTTAATCACACATTTTTAAAGCCTGAAACAATTTCTTGTATTCTACATTTTTTTAAAATTTGCAATAGGGCATATGCTCTCACCAGAAACAGAGTGAGAGATAAAAGTAAGAAAACAGCCCCCAGGAAGATAGTTATGACGCAATCCTTTCTCCTCCATTCTCCCCTCGGGGTTTTGGGTGTGCACGCACACGTGCCAAGAGTGTTCCTTAAGCCATCAGGCCTAGGACTCAAACCGCACTGTCAGCCATGTGGTATCCAGCCACCTTAACCACCATGCCACTGACAGGCCCTGTAGTCTACAAACTTTAATCTTTAGAGTTTTCCACTTAGCAAAGAAGCAACATAACAAACTAATATTTTCAATAATTATGAAAATAAAACAGTGTAAAGTGTGTGGTAGATTGAGGTTTTTTCATTTTCACATATTACACGCACCAATTATTAATCTATTTTGATCCCTGAAACATTGAACATTGCCATTCTTAATACATATTTAATACTTTAAATATGAATGAACATCCCAAACAAAAGCAATTATACAACAAAAGAACGAGTCTCCATTATTTGGCCTGAATAGCTACTATTCATTGAGGTTTTATATGCTAAGCACTATGCTATGAACTTCATGATCACTTATCTTCTCTACACTCTACTCATTCAAATAAATGAAATATTTAAATATTTATCATGAAATCAGGAAAACATGTGGAACTTCTGCATGAATAAACTTATTTTTGAGGCCGGCAGGTGGCACAATGGTTAAGGGAGCTGGACTCCCACACGGCCGACAGCAGTTTGAGTCCCGGATCTGATGACTTGCTTTTTCACTTTCCCTCCCTCTCTCTTCTCTCTCTGTCCCTCTATGGCCAAATTTAAATAACTAAATGAACAAATAAATAAAGTTAAATAAAATAATTCTTTTTTTAAAAAAAAAAGAAACTCACTTTTTAGAAAAGAAGACTAAAATTTACTGATCTTCCTCTACACTAATAGATAAATTCAGAAATAAACATTAAAAAAATTTTGGGCAAAAAAATCACCTAGTAAATTTTGTCAAAATTAATAAATTCATTAGATTTGTAACTTCTATTTCTGTCTTTCCTTACTTTATTGCATTTTCACTGAACCTCTAAGTATGCTACAAAGAAATTTTCAATTCAAAGCTATAACAAAGCTGGCTTTGCCTTATCTGAAATTATTAAGTAGCTCATAAGTATAATTAAAATTTAAAAGAGCAAGGACTCTAATCATTTAAATATCTTTATTCTGAAGAACCAATGTGCTAAAACCTAAACAATAGCATCTTTGAGTTTAAATCTTATAAAATTGGATCAATCTTCATCAAATGATACAATGTTCATTATAACCTTAGAAATATTTTCAACCTTCTTATTACCTGCTCAGCCTTCCAGTCTTAACATGGGCAAAACAACTGCAAAAAGGTGACAAATTATGTCTGTCCTTGCTAAATGCAAAACACCTACTTAAAAGAGTTGGCAGTAAGCAGTAATTTTGATCAATTTACATAATAAATTCAGAAGGAGATTGGAACATGCTGACAAGCATTATCTCTATCTTATAAAATTGAATTTATGGTTATATGTTTATTTTGTATTTAAGCATATGTTTCTCCAAAAGCAGGAGTACAGTAAAATAACCTCAGAAGGTCTAGTGCATATACATACCTTCAAATATTAGGTATATGGAAGACTTGACAAAGACTTAATTCAAAAAGAAAATTAATATTTTATAACATGCTATGTAATGAAAGAGTAGATTGCCCACATCACTATATATTTTTTAACAAATAAAGGATTTACCACTGATATCAATTGACTTTTGAACTTCAGAATTAAACAAATGTAATTGTGCAACTATTACATGCTATTTATTAAGAAAATTTAAAAACAAATGTGTTGTCACTTGGTTTGTTTTAAATGAACAAAACAAATATTACGCCAAGATTAAAAAAGTGTAGGATATTTATGCTAAACTCATTGATCCTTAGTTAATTTCCAGTTAAAACTAGAAAGTACCGAGTTTGCGCTAGACATGTATAAAATGCTTCATGTAAAATGCTGTCTTACTGTTGCATCTTTATTCAGCATCAACTTCCAGATGGGAACTATTTTTCATGGTTCATAAAGTCAAATCCAGCTGCTACATTTGGACCTACATAAGGAATCCACATTTTATTGCCTTCCAAGTGCTTATAAAACAATTGCTATTGTTTCTTTAGCCATGGTGCAACTCACTCTTCTCCGTGCAAATGAGATATCCAAAAAGAACTTTTAATGTCTTCATAGTTGATTACTTAGCAGTACTATGCGTAATAGGATCCTGATTTTACAACATTTTCTAGATATCTAAGCTAGCTTAAACAAAAACAATCTTCAATGGTAACCATAGATTGAGCGAATTACCAAGAGTGTTCATACCATTTCCTATTAAAACCCACAATGGTTATTAAATACTTCTGTAATCTTAGCTTTATTAAGACACAGGAAGTGCACAGTTTCCTCTCCCTCCTCACTCAGCTAATCTGGCTCTTTGATGGTCATGCGTTTGGAATATAACCATGGGGTTTCCACCACAGCCTAGTCTTCCCACAGCTAAATGGAATTAACCCTGTCAAGCCTCAGAAAAAGAAAGAAAAGAAAAGAATGCATCTCATTGTTGGGATGGAAATATATTTGGAACTTTGAGTGAATAGCACTTATATTAAAATACAGTCAATTTGTGCTTAGGACATTTTCGGTAGGGCTACCAATAAAAAAAGAAACATCAATTTCCGAAAATGGAAATTACTCAGCTTGCAAAATTACCTGTGGTTATTCTTTCTTGCTATCTATAGATGTCAAACGTGCGGTGTCTTCTCAATCGTGTTCATTAAATACTTTTTCGATTTTGAATTAACATCTGCTATTCTTTTTTGCCAAAAGACCTAAAATCCCAGGAGGAAAAAAATATATATATGGATGGAAAAGTTAGTACCTAGTGAGTTAATGTAAGAGTATGACAGAAAGGCAAGTTTTCTATGAATTGGGAAGCACAGACTCTGGTAAACCACCAGATAATCCCTACCCTGCTGAGTGGTTGCCCCAGAGGTCTGATACAGGGCCAAAGCCTCTTACGCATACTGAGACAAAGCTTATTTCAAGCAGAATTCAGCTCCTAAAGCCACCATACTGGACTCTGTATTTGTGTTTCCTGCTGTTTATATTGACTTGTTCCCAAAGCCACAATAGCTACAAAAACAAATATTGGTATGCAATGCTTTGCATCGGATGCAGGTAAAGTTCTCTGCTTCCTTTTTTACTTATATATATTTCTGCAAATAGGTTTTTAATATATTAGGAGATTATTTGATAATTATTAACCAGTTCAGAAACACACGTTCCACAACAGCTCATCCAGTCACCGTTTCTATTCCAGAATAATTCTCCGTTTTTGACCCTTGAGCCGAGATGAGCAAATGGGTATTCAAAAAGAAATTCATTTGAATCATCTTCCTTTGCCTTGTCAGCTCCCAATTGATATTCTGTTCAGATTTTTCCTGCAATCTTTTTGACCTTTGGCAAGAGATTGTGTTTCCTTATCTGATTTAAATTTTTGGAACAAGTTCAAGTATTTTTCTTTTCCTTTAGATTGGAAAAAATAGAATATAGGTGATTTTAGAAAGGTATTTTTATTCAAGTCAATTCTATTCATTCTTAATAAAAATGGGATTACTTTCTTTGTGGCTGCATAAATACATGGCCTGTAGAAGTGTTTGTAGTCTCTCTCGTACAACAATGTCACCTAAATCCTCTAATATAATCTGACAGAGGTAACAGAGTACCTTCTTATAAGAGGAAAACAAATAAAGAAGATTAACTTAAATGTAATCATATGTAAAATTCAGAAATGGACCTTAAGCTTTTCATTATTCAAGACTCACATAAGCACTAAGAATACTGGGTGGCGAATATATTTCATATCTTTTTAAAACTGTGTACTCAAAATACAAAACATAAACATTTCTTTGGAAAGCAACAAGAAAATAATATTCCTGCTATTACATTAAGATATCGATTCTTGTAGCGTTCACTTTTCTACATAGCCTGCAACCAGATTATTTTAAACTCAAAAAGATAGAGTTGAATAGCTCTTAAACAGAAGGTATTTTGTTAAAATATTAAATTATTCCATGAATACATTATGGGTATAAGCCTTGAGAACCTACCTGGTTATCAGGATAGGCCAGCTTTCTTTTTCTAATTATGTTTTTTCTTTATTTAGGGAGTTCCTGTAATCCGATATAAATTGATAGAAACTTTTTTTAATTCTCTATATTCCTTCCCAGAAGTGAATGCTCAGTCCTAGAGATTCAAAACAAGAACAAACGGAAATAATAATTAAAAGAATACTAATCTTGGAACCTACATTTTTAGCCTTGATTGTGCTCCATAATCACAAATTTCTTTCATAGACTTTTTTCTTATCTATCAGAGACTGTTTTATTTTTAGTTTTATAACCGAGTCTCAAATACAATTATGAATGACTAGAACAATTCAAAGAGAGAAAAATAGCTGTGAATCTGTAATCCAAAAGAATGTAAAAACATAAATAGGCAAGTTATGGTATACACCATCCTTTCCAGCTGACTTACAGCTTTAACCAACTTATTTGGCAAATACTTATTGTATTTAAATGATTAAAGTTTGTTAAATCTCGAATGATTACATCAACCAGGAAATATTTTTAAGCCATAGTTTTAGTAATTTTCTTCTTAAGCATTTTAAGACAAAAATGAGAGTTTTGCTAATATCTTTTTAAATGGAAATGGTAATCAGTCATGGGAGAAGTGTAAAAATTAAGTCAGCTAGGAGGAGATTAGAAAGGAATAGCCTACTTCCAGACTTATCTTAGAAAAATAACAATAAAAATATTGTAGAATTACTATTCTTCCTGAAATTACTTGCAGGTTTATTGGGAACACAAAATATAGACAGTATAATGTCCTTCCATTTTCATTTAGTAACAAAATGGAGGGGAACTATGGGAACAAAACAGACCAATGGGCAGTTTTGCCCCTAGAAGATACTTAGCAATGTCTGAAAGCTTTTTTTGGTTATTACAAGTAGAGAGTAAGGTGTGATGGTCATCAGATGAGCAGAGGCTGGAGATACTACTAAAAAATCTAAAATACACAGGATAGTCCTGCTCAACAAAGAACTAGCTGGTCCAAAATGTCAATATTATCAAGGGTGGAGACAAAAATAAAACAAACAGAGACCAGCAGGTGGCTCAGCTGTTGAAGCACAGGACTTCCATATGGCTGACAATGGTTCAAGTCCCAGACCTGGTGGCTTGCTTTCTCTCTCTCCCCTCCCCACCCAGGTCAGATTAAATAAGAAGAAGAAGAAATAAAATTTAATATATATATTTTTAAATACAGAACACAAGGAGGATTTTCAATTGAGGTTTTCTCTTTCTGTATTTTCCTCCTTCTTGGAAGATGAGAGTAAAAATCCATGATAATAGTAACTAAATTACCACAAACGTAATGCCACTAAAACTCCTTTTAAAATATTTCAAAACTACAAGACTATTTCTGTGGATATCAACTTCTGTTTGGAATGTTGTCTCCTTCTCTTTCAATTTTTAAATCACAGAAGCTTTGTACTTTAAATAACAAATTTAGTCTAGTTCCCCAATCTCAAGATCAGTCACTCTTCAAGGCAAAACCAGCATTTTTCTGAACCTAGTCTGCAAGATAACTCGCACCTTTATCCTTTATCACTAGGAATTCCCTGGGACACTAGCAATATAAAAATGTCCCAAGTAGGATTAATCAAATATGGCAGGAATGTGGCGGGAGCGTCTAAGCTCATGCCATGGTGGGATATGGGAGAACTTTGTTTTTTTCTCAAATGCCAGGATTTTCTAGTCCCGTACTTTGCAAAATATATTCCTGACAATAGCCCCTCAAGAAAAGGACTCATTGGTCAAAAAATATGGCAAACCATAGTACAAGCATCTGTAGAGATTCTTAATACACATTAATATACAAAAGATTCTTTAAAAGGCAGCAATTAAAGCTTCATTCTAGAATGCTAACTAACCTGATGCTTCTCAAACTTGACCAGACAAATACTCTGACTGATTGATTTTGTTACCCTCACTGTACCTATTACCACCTGGGAGGCACCAGCCCAGGGTTACCCACATAGAATAACATTTCCCCTACTCTCTCTCTCTCTCTTTGGAGAGGACTTTGCTATAGGTCACACGCTCTTGCCAGAAAGACAGGGAAAAAAGCAAGAAATCACCCCTCAGGGGGAATAGCCAAGTTGCAATCCCTTCTCCTCTAGGGATCTTGGGCACGCGCGCACATGCACCCAGTGTGAGTTTAAGCCACCAGGTCCAGGATTCAAACCATAGTCGACTACGTGGGAGTCCAGCGACATAGCCATTATGCTAACTGCTGGTCTCTGAGCTTGTATATTTTCATAAGTCATAAAACACAATCTTTTCTTACTTAAGACAGTAAAGAAAAAAACATTCAAGGGACACAGAAATGAAAAATTATCTGGGAATGATGACACGTATGAAAATATCTTTAACTGAACTAATATACAGTGACAAAAATTCATTTTGCATGCTGTAATGATGTACAGTGACTGAATGTATAAAGAAAATCATAAAATATCTTTTAAAAGAATATTCATGACCATTCACATTTTTCACAGCTAGTTAGAAAATTTAACTTCCACCAGATAATGCGAAATACACTCCAATTAAAAACCAATATTTTCTCGGGCTGGCAAGTGGCATGGTGGTTAGGAGCACTGGATTTTCACATGGGCGACCATGGTTCAAGCTGCAGACCCAGTGGCTTGCTTTCTGTCTCTCTCTCTCACTATGTCTCTCTCTGTTCAAATTAAAATAAAGTTGAATAAAATAACTAATAAAAAGCAATATTTTCAGAACTAGCTAATGGATTGGTGATTAAGGAGGCTGAATCCCATGTGGCCAACCACATGGTTCGAGTCCTGGACCGGGCATCTTGAAAGACCTGCCAGGCATGTGTGTGTGCATGCAAAATCCCAAAAGGAGAGATAGAGGGATGATAAGAGATTGTGGTGTGACCATCTCCCAGGGGGCTGCTTTCTCGCTCTTCCCCTATCTCTGTCTTTCTCAGGTGAGTGTACGTGCCCTCTGATTAAAAAAAAAAAAAAATGTTTTCGGTCAAAGCCAGATTCTCTAAACCCTATCATTTTGTGAAACTGTCTAAGGAACACATACACCTACATGATCAAAATGACTTCAGTTACTTTTTCTGTAATTACAATGATTTTAGCACCACATATATGTAAAACTGAAAAGTCACTTATTCGTGAATATGTGTTTATTCTCATTTTCCTTTTATTTTTAAAAATTAATCACATTTCTCTATAGCCATTAGCCAGAGTGGGGACTAGCAGTAACAAAAGGCACTAAACTGTACCCAGAATCCTCCTACCTGTTTTATACGTAGTAGCCTCCTCCCAGCAACCCCAGTGGTAGAGACAATCACTATTCTCTTTTGAGAGCCAGAATTCAAATCAATGGCACAATCTCTCTAGAACCAACTTATATTTTTGCTAGTTCTCACACAAGCTAAGAATTGTGCCTGGTTCTTATGTATTCCAGGAGTGCATAACATAAATGTGACTGATGTGATAAGATACATTGTCAGATAATAGATGTGACTTGTGTTTTGTTTTTTTTTTTTAAGATGACATTTTAGTGATTTATGTGGGTTTATTACGATGTATTTACAGAAGCTTTGTAAATCTAATTTAGATATATGCGAACAGAATTTTTACTTCCCCATATTCTCACTATTAGAAAAGTACGTTTTTCTTAGAACCAGAGAAAATGTGAATTTTTACCCCTGATATATTATAGCAGCTGTATGTTTGTGCATTGATTCATAATCAACGCACGAGAAGGAATATTTCTCAAATACATGCAATTGAACCATTTTAAGTTAGATTTTCTTTGTAAACCAAGTAGGAGAATTTAGTAAAATCCACTCTACATATTTCTAAAGTAAAAAATAGCTATCCTATATGTCCTGCTGCATAGTAGATATTAAAATAATTTAATTAATTAACATAGTATAACGTCACCTTATATCAGCTTTAACTTACAGAGATATACCTGGCCGTGGACTAACTTAAGCACCATGTGAGAGATGTAAAATTACAGTCTCTTTCCTTTCTACAAACGAGGAATCAAGATGCCTGTTATAATTGATACAGAGACTACGTAGATAGGGTTTTAAATTTTTGTAAGAAAATGTAGATATTATGCCAGTGAGTTATTCATACAGAGTTTTACAGTTTAAGTCTTCATTAATAAATGTGAAAAGGTTACTTCTGAACACTAACATTGTATTTGCTTTTAAAGCAAAATATAGACCATGTAAGGAAACTCACTAATGACCTGAAACCATGAGCGGCAGGCAGGGCAGAAGAGAGGGGAAGGTCAGGCAGAAGCAAGTTTGCAAGGGGCCTTAAAGGGCCTAGTCAGAGGTGTGGGCGTTTAGTCTAAGTATAGGAGGACACCATAGGATGTTTTTATTTTTTTAATAATTTTATTTATCTTTATTTTTTTATTTGCTATACAGACATGCACTCACCAGAGAGAGACAGAGAAAGAAGAGAGAGAGAAAGAGTAAGACGGGAAAAAAAATGAGAAAGCCAGTGGCCAGGGCCAGGACTTACACTATCGTTAGCCATGTGGGAGTCCAGCACCTTAGCCATCATGCCACCTGCTGGCCCCCAAGAATGTTGGTTTAAAGTCACATTGATTGAAGTATAATTTCTCTCTTGTGTATATAATTTGGTGTAGAAGTTCCTCACATGCTACAGTATAAATGTACAATTCTCAGAGTTAAAAGGAAGAGCTTAATAAAGATGTGTTTGTTCTCTTGTTTTGCCTAGGACACTTAGTGCATTCTGTGAGACTGGGCTTCTCCCTCTCTCCTGAACACACACACACACACACACGCACAATCATATATAAATGTTGTGAAAGTTGCTCTTTTCATGTACAACAAATGGACAATGATAGACAAATGAATGAAGAGTGTAACTACTACAAAAAAGCAAAATAGATTATTCCCATCACCCTAAAAGTTCCTCTATGTCCCCCTCCCCCTAGCAACCATGATCTAATCCTTGTCCCTGTAGTTTTGCCAGGATGTCACATAAACAGAAGCATGTAACTTCAGCATGTCGCTGTTTACATCCACCAACATGCTTTCCAGAATCATCCCTCTTGTTGCACATACCAGCCG